AACTGAATTGCATCCACATTTTATTCTTCAAAGTACGATTAAATCGCTCACAAATTGACGCTTTCAAATTACTATGCGTAGAATACAAGTTAATGTTATAACTTTTAATGAGATTTTCAAACTGTGAATTATAAAACTCTTTTCCTTTATCTACTTGCAAATTTTTTGGTATACGTTTTTTAAATAAAATAGATTTCATTGCCGCAGTCACATCTTCACCTTTTTTGGACTTTACTGGAACAGCCCAAGCAAACTTTGAAAATGTATCAATGACGGTTAACAGGTACTTGTAACCTTTGTTTTCTCTAGCATAAGGTTGCATTTCAACAAGATCAGCTTGCCAAGTCTCGTCAATACCTCGAATGTCAACATTTCTTCGCTTATAATTTCTTCTCGCTGGTTTATGTAACTCTTTCACCAACTGTAGTTTTTGATCCTCCATTGTTAATTACCTTCAAGTGTGCGCAGTCTGCTGTCTAATTGTAAAATAATCTCTTTGCTGGTAGACATCATCTCTATATTTCTTTCAATACTGATTCTTAGATTTTCAAAATATTTTTTATCAAATCTTCTATCTCTGCAATCTTTACAACATTGTCATTTATATCATTTCTCACAGAACCGATTACATCATAGATGGCGTTCGTTTTAGATTCAATAACTTTGTTTACAGTATTCAAGTTTACTGCATCACTGTTGCTCTCAGCATCAGCTACGTTACAAAGTTTCTTATTTTCAATATTAAAATCTCCTTCACCAGTCAACTTAAAACCAAGTCCTGGTGGACCTCGATTTGAAGTTTCTGTGCTTTTAAACTGACGTCCGAATATGTCAATACTCATCATGAAAATGATAAAAATTTCTACAACTGTTAATTAATAAACAATTCCAGCTTCTCTCAACTCTTCAATAATTGATATAATCTCATTATTATGACTGGGATTTCCAGCTGCTTGAGATGCCAAGAGCAATCTTAAACGATCAACCAATTCATTAGGATCATCCCAATAGACATAATCAATTTTTGTATCTTCTTGTTGAGTCATATATTCTGGAATTAAACCTTCACCAGAATGTACTGCTATATAGTTTAGATATTTTAAAACTCTTTTTATCTCTAACAGCGCCATCTGCTTTGTAATATTTTCTATGAGCATTAGTTGATATTACAATATTTTATAATTTTCCCGATCAACTACACTTAAAACAGCTTCTTCTGGAACTTTTTTGAATAAAAGCTCAAGTAAACCTTTCGTTGCAGGATATGTTTTATTACCTACACTAATATTATTTTGTTCAAAATTTATTCCTGAATTACCAATCATTAATTGCCCTTTAGATAATTTACGAACTCCATATGAAGGATCTAAATCTTTTCCCTTTTCATCCAACATTTGAAGATATAAAATAGCACCATCTTTCTCTGATTCATCTCCATCTCCATTATCATCTCCATCATCATCATCATAATCATCACCGTTATCGTCATCATCAGCAGCTGTTGCAAATGATAAGTCATCTCTTAAAAATGAATCATTCTCTCTCTTAACTTCTTGATCTTCTTCAAACTCTAAAGGAAGGTCTCCCTCTCTTTCAATTTTTACTGGTCGAATTTGTTTAACAATTTCAATGTCATCAACTAATTTCTGAATTGGTGTCACTATAGGTTTAAAGGTATTATTTAAAGTCTGTTCAATTTCTTCCTTGCCCATTTCATCAGTCTATGCTTTCGTCGAATAGCATCACTGGCTTTTGCAATTTGACCAAGAATATCTTTTTGTTTTCGCAAATGTTTCAAGTGTGTAGAAGACATGTTGATTGACCAATGTCTTGAATGAAACTGTTTATAAAGAATATCATTTCTCTAATTTTATAAAACAATCAAAACACTTTCTATATCTGCCTTCATTGATATCACGATCTTTATCAATCACTATAAATCATGCTTATTTTTCCAACAAGAGTTGCACAGTTTTTTAAATTCCATAAATGTCATATCAGTATTTACATGATCATCATAAATATGTCTAAGATTCATTTCATCTTGTTTGAATAAAACTAGTAAATTAACATTGTCACGTATTAAATGTTTTGGAATGCGCGCATATGTTTGACATAAATAAAAGCAATCCACCGCTTTGTGTCTTCCCATAGCAAAAAAAGCTTTAATATTATCTTGTTTTTCACATGCTACGTCATCAAATATAAATATTGAGTTTGGTAACGCATTGTTTGGTTCTACAACATCCACATGTTCATTAAATGGAAAGTAGCCAACACCCTCTACTGGTTGCAAAATGTTTTCTAAAAATTTGTATTTTGGTTGATATAACGATTTTGAGTACACATAAACATTTTCAAATCGTAATCCATTGGATGTATTAAAAGAGCAAGTAAAGCATTTGTCTTTCCACAATTTGACGGTCCACAAAATATTGCTCGCACACTATTTGGCAATAAATTTCCATGACGATTATCTGTTTTTTATTACAATCTTGAACAAGAGTGTCAAAATTGTAAACTGGTAATTTAATCGATTGTGCTTCGAACTCCATTCTTACGATAACTGAGGTTAAAACTATAAATACAAGGTTTTTAATAGTTTCAATGTCAGTTTACTGTAGTCGCTTGTAACGTTTGCATGCAAGTCCAATAATAAGGTCCATGCTACTTTACAGCATCTGATGCTAGGTCTAGTTTTTTAGGAGAGGTTTGCGATTTGGTGTCGATCGTCAACTCTTTCATGCTTTGAGCAAGGTCCACGTTTCCTACTGTCGGAGGCAATTGGGATAATTGACTATTACTGTGATAATTGACTATTGCTGTCATAATTTTTTTGTTAGATCATTAAAGGTTGACTGTTTGTAGTCAAATGGCAAAAAACTATAAATACATTGGTTATATAGATTTCCCCTTTAGTCTTGAAAAAGTTTTCTAACAGTAAAGAATATAAATATGGGTGTAAATAAAAAATAAATTAGTTTAAAGAAAACTTCGAAAAGAGTAAGACGAGGTAGAGGTATTTTGAATAAAATTATCAATAAATTACCTTTCGAACTTCATATACCTGGCTATCAATACTGTGGTCCAGGAACAAAATTAGCAAAGAGATTAGCACGAGGTGATCCAGGAATCAACCCTCTCGACGCTGCTTGTAAACAGCACGATATTTCTTATTCAAAAAATAGGGAAAGTGTAGAAGCGAGAAACGCAGCTGATAGAGTACTTGCTGATAAAGCTTGGCATCGTGTGTTTGCTCCTGACGCAAATTATAGTGAAAGAGCTGCAGCTTACGCAATAACAAATGCAATGAAGGTCAAATCAAAATTGGGTATGGGAATCAAGTCAAAAGAAAATATGAAGAAAAAGAGGGAAAATAAAAAATCAACGTTGAGGAAGATTGTAACCGCAGCTAAAAAATCTATGAAATTGGATACAAATGCCCAGTCTACTATTAAATCAGCACTTGAAGGTGCACGTTTGGCAGTTAAAATTGCTGGTGGCAGGCGAAAAATTAATAAACCTCGCATTTTACCGATACCTTCTAAAGTGGGAGGAATTTTACCTTTTCTTATTCCTTTGTTTGCGGGTTTTAGTGCAACAGGGGCTCTAGCAGGGGGAGCAGCTGGCATAGCTAAAGCTGTAAATGATGCAAATTCTGCAAAACGTCAACTAGAGGAAAGCAAGCGACACAATCAAACAATGGAGTCTATTGCCTTAGGAAAAGGGCTCTATTTAAAACCATATAGGACAGGTCTAGGGTTACACCTTAAACCTTATAAAGCAGGACAAGGATGCAAGTCAAAAACTTGAAGTAAAGCTACCTCACCGAGCCCTAACCGACTTAGATTTACTTAAATTTGCAAAGCTTTTAAAAATTCCATATTTTCGAGGAGTTTTTATGCGAAATGAACTACCTATGCGTGGTCCTAAAGAAACTGAATTTGCAATTATTAATCTAGATGATAAAATGGTCCCGGTACACATTGGTGTGCATATAAAAAGAATAAAGATAAAATCGTATATTTTGATAGTTTCGGTAATCTTCAACCACCTTCGGATCTTGTTAAATATTTTGGTGTTGGTAGCATAAAATATAATCATAAACGATATCAAAACTATAATACATATGTATGCGGACATTTATGTCTTAAATTTTTATGTAAACAATTGAATATTCCTGATTTGTATACTCTGCATATAAATAAATGATATTCTTAGTTTAAACGTTAGTTATTACTTTGACCTCATCATGGACGATTCACTTATTTTAACGTTGTCTGGAAATTCTTCCATCTTAGAATCTCAATTTTTTCCACCAATAGAGTTGTCTAATTTTAAAAATTATGCTCTTGGTCTTGTTGAATTTTTAACTTTTAATTCTATTCCTAATATAGATGTTGGAAAGAATAAATTTTACGTAGGAAATGAAGAAATTATTATACCCACAGGAAGTTATGAAGTTAGTGATATTGATCAAGTTTTGCATTTAATTTTAAAAAATAAAGGAATTAATTTTAGAATCAAACCAAACAATAATACATTGAAATGTACAGTTTATTGTGATGAAGAAATTAATTTTAAACCCAATGATTCTATAGGTAGTTTGTTAGGATTTTCTCCTCGCAAATTAAAAGCTCAAGAATACCATGAGTCTGATCAACCAGTATCAATCATTAAAATAAATTCATTAAGAGTAGAATGTAATATAACAACGGGAGCATACATTAATGGTGAAAAAGTGCATACAATTCATGAATTTTTTCCTATTGTTCCACCAGGATATAAAATAGTGGAAGTACCAAATCACGTCATTTACTTGCCAGTCGCTGTCAAGACAATAGACTATATTCAGTTGCGAATTGTAGACCAAGACGGAAATTTAGTTAATTTTCGAGGGGAAACTTTAACAATAAGGCTTCATATTAAATCCTTAAAATAATGGGTATTGTTTTTAATAATAGAAAAAGGATTGGTTTTGGTTATAAAATTAAGACACCATGCCAGAAGCAAATCAGTCGTCGGCGAATCTTGAAGAGATTAACACCTCAGAACCTGCAACTACTGAAAAATCTCGGTCTAAAGATTGTAAAAAAAGGAAAAGAGTAAAAAAGAGATTTAAGGTTATTTTTACTTGTATTTGTGCCTTTGTATTTCAACGTATTATTATTTGCTATGGAAGGGGAAATTTTAAATATTGATTCACCAGTAATTTTTGATGAATCTATTGCTCATTATGAAGTTCATGCGCAACAACCATACACATCATCAACATACAACAATAGTGACGAAATCCGCATCACGGTACAGAATCAGGATCATTGCTTATTTCCAAGCAAAAGCTCGATTCACATCACTGGAAAACTTGTGAAACCTGATGGAACAGCTCTAGAGCGTACAAATTTAATTTCTAATGGCATATGTCATTTATTTGAAGAAGCAAAGTATGAACTTAATGGTGTAGAAATTGATAAAAATAAAAATGTTGGTCTTACAAGTTTAATGAAAAATTATATTTCTCTGGATGCTAGTCAAAATAAATTTCTTGAAAATGTTGGCTGGTTAGAATTTACCAATGAACCAACCTTAACAAATGCACAAGGTTATTTTGATGTTTGTATTCCTCTGAGTATGATTTTTGGTTTTGCTGAAGATTACCAAAAAGTTATTATTAACGCTAAACATGAGCTTATTTTAATCAGATCAAGAACTGATGCTAACGCAGTGTTGCAAGTAGCACCTTTAGAAGAGTTTAAAATTGTCATTGAAAAAATTGAATGGTTATTACCATACATAAAATTATCAGATGCTCGAAAGTTTAAATTATTAAAATATATTGAAAAAGATCCATCTATTCCAATAAGTTTTAGAACTTGGGAATTGTATGAATATCCTTTATTACCAATTACTCCTAAGCATATTTGGAGTGTAAAAACTTCAAGTCAATTAGAGAAACCTAGATTTATTGTATTAGGGTTTCAGAGAAACAGAAAAAATAATACAGTTCAAAACTCTAGTTGTTTCGATCATTGTGATTTATCTGATGTAAAATTATTTTTAAATTCACAATGTTATCCTTATGGTAACATGAATCTGAATATTGGTAGAAATCAGTACTCTACTTTATATGAAATGTTTACAAATTTTCAAGCATCTTATTATAGTAAAGAGTCTCAACCAATTTTATCAAAAAAAGAATTTTTACAATATGCTCCTTTAGTTGTAGTGGATTGTTCAAAACAAAATGAGTCTTTAAAAAGTGGACCAGTTGATATTCGCCTAGAATTTGAATCAAAAGAAAATTTTCCCGCCAATACTTCAGCTTATTGCTTAGTTTTGCATGACCGCATCGTTGAATATAAACCAATCAGTGGAATTGTCAAAAAAATTGTTTAACTTTAAGCTTATATATATTTAACTCTTTACGCGTAATGAGATTAGTTGATTTAAAAATGCAGTACTTGATAGATGTGCAAGGATTCAAATTGCCAATTAATAAATTTGTTTTAAAAGAATTAGCTATAGTTTCTGTAAATAATGATTCAATACCAATAAATATGGTTTTCCAACCTCCTTGTCCATGGAATTGCGTCACAAACAAATATAAATGTATCAATCGTTGGTTAGAAAATAATTTCCATGGTATTCGTTGGAATGCTGGTAATGTACCGTACGTTTATTTAAAAGAAATTTTAGAAAATGTGTTTAAAGAAGCAAAGACAATTTATGTTAAAGGTTTAGAGAAGAAAAAATGGTTAAAAAGCTTAATCGATGAAAAATATTGTATAGAAATTATCGATATGAATGATTTAAATTGTCCTTCATTAAAAAAATTAAACATTGAAACATGTATTGGAACTTGTTCAAAACATTTAATCAACAAGAAAACTTTTACTTGTGCTCTTCAGAATGTTATAAACTTAAAAACTTGGTTCTGCAAAAACTGTAATATTTGAGTATTTTAGTTGAAAATGTATTCTATTTTTTTCCTCAATAAAATTATAAAATATCAATTGCACTGTAATTATTATTTCTAACCTAACCTTATTGTTTTCAGGAATAAGAAACGACATTTATTTTAAATACATTATTTATTATAATAAATTACAATATTTTTTAAGTATAATTTATTGTAAAAATTGTATAAATCGAATAGCAGAGAACTAATACAAACTACATTTTAAATAAATATTTACATTTTATACATCAATTTCATCTATTTCCATTGGATCATGCTGTTGGTAACCCCAAGGAAAGGTGTCAGTTTTCCCTGGTATCAAAATTCTTTTATCATCCTGCCAACTGAGAGCAATTTTATTTTGTTTGACAGTAAATACTTCATGTTTTTTGCTGCGTATAAAGTGCTGAGATCGGATCAGGTTTTCATTTTCATTGAGAGTATGCTTAAAATCATCGAAACCTATTTTTTTTTAAGTTGAATATTTTACCCCTTTTGCTTTCTTTTTAGCTTCCTCATCACCCCATAACTTGAATGCATATAGTTTTGATCTTAAACCTATAAATTCGTCTACAATTTTACCGTTATTTTCGTCTTTCATAAGACCCAGGATTTTTTTATTTGCAAGTGGTATATTATAAATGTTGTTTTCAGGATAATCGGATGTATCGAATTTATGTAAATCTCTTTTAATATAATCATAAAAATTTGGTACTGTAATGTGATAAACAAGACTGTCAGTATCTGTGTAGAGTAATTTTGCAGAATCACTGAAAGTTTCGTTAATGTAATTGTAATGAAAATCATATGTTATTATTTTTGATATGTCTAGAATAGTGAATCCTATGTAAATTGGTTTGTTAAAGTATACCTTTGTTTTATTCATCTCAATAATGACCATATCTTTATCGAATATGGTGCAACTATGAAAGTTTGGTTGAGCAATTAAATTTTTCGCGCAATACCTTCCCTCCCATTTTGTTATTAATCTAACATCTTTGTGTTTTCTAACATTTTCCATTGTCTTGCCAAATACGGAATTGTTCATTAGCTTGTAAAAATTCTTCTCAAATTCATTACTCGATTTTTTTCGAAGCTCGGTATTTAAATCAATGTAGGGTTTTAACCATTGCTTTTGCTTAAATTTTAAAACTCTATGTATTTTAGTTAATTTCATTCCCAAAGATAAATATAGCTTTAAATTTCTATAGTGAATTGTATAGTTCTTCTTTGGTAATAAATTTGGAATCAATTTAGGAATTGTACATTTTGCGAGAGGAGGTATGAAATGTTCAGGGCATAAGGGCAAGTCTTTATGTGAATCATGAAGTTGAGTTGGATAATCTAAATCTACTTCAAGAATATATCCTTCAGGAGAATCATCTGGAATATTTAGGAAAAAGTCATTACTATAATTTTCTAACCATTCAAAATCTGTATATGGCAAGCTCTCGCTCATAGAAGCACCATACTGATTATTTATATCGAAATACATGATATAAGATTCTGGTATTAAGGGATTAAAATCTTTTTCCATAAATCTATTATTAGCTTTCGCGTATCTGTTTGAGCATTGTGAAACACCACCTCTAATTCCCTTTTCAATAAAAAGCAACATTTCTACATCTGTCAACAAATCAAGTTTTATGTCTGTGTACTTGAGCATAGCGTCAAATGCCAGTCCTGGGGCAGTATAGTAATGTAACGCGTCCAAGTTATAAGTTGTAAAACAGGTTTTTCTAAAATTTTCAAAAATGTCGGCAAGTAGTAGAACGTCAGTCTGTAAATACAAGTCAGAGTATTCTCCTATTGTTTTTAAATTAAACGTTTTCCATACGTTACAAGCATGTTCATAGTCTTCGTCTGAAATATAAGCGTCATTTAATTTAGAGTAGAAAGAGTCTTTTACTGGCAATTGTCCTTCTTCTAATTTTTCCCAGCTACTAACATATTCGTAAGGAAATATTCCTTTTCTTGTCAATAAATTAAACTCGTCCATATTTTTACAATACTTTTTAGTAATTTTTTTCTCATCATTTTCAAGATAGGAGGATAATTTGTCTAAACTGCTGGGCATAAATCTAAATGAATCCAGAAATCTTAATACTACTTTTGTGCCTTTGACATACTTTGAAAATGAAATGTACTTTTCCTTGTTTATTGGTAACAGTTTCATTTCACCCTCAAAAGACGTTGCTAAAGCTTTAATAATGAAATGTGCATCATATCCTGACAAGTTGTGAAAAATTATGGGAACAACATGCGAATCTTTATAATTTACATTGCAACCTTGATGTGCTGGACCACGATATTTTCCCGTGAAATGACAATGGTCGCGGTGTTTAATGTCATCATTTTCAAAAGGTTTTTCACAAATATGACAAACTGTTGCTGTATCAAATTGAATTTGTTGTAAAATAGTTAAATTTTCCATTGGAATAATATTTGTAAAATAAGTATTTGCTTTTTCAGCCAATTGTTTTAATTCAGCCATGAACCAATCAACACAATCTGGACCCCGATATGATTTAAATTCTGAAAGTGATTCGTCGAAATTGCAATGTACATAGAAAGCAAAACTTGTCGGGATATGTTTTTGGTATGTTGATGTGTTTGTGTGTGTACTTGCTATAGGTTCTAAGAGGCTTTCAGTGTCAGCATACACGACAAAGGGAACACTTTCTTTATTTCTATAGTTTTTAAATTTTAAAATTTTATCCTCTTCTTTAGGCAAAATTACTCGACACTTGTTTATTTTATCACAATCCAATTTATGATTATTAAATGATTTTTCGTGTACAAAATGGCATAAACACCTATCACAAAGTAACATTCTATGACTGTTTTTTGAGATCTGTGAATTTACTAATCGAGATAAATTATTGATTAATGCAAAATGATAAATTTTGTTATTTTGAAAATTATTATCATCATCATCATCGTCTAAATCAATTTCAGTATTTTCAATCATTAACAAATGATAAGTAGGTTCATTTGATTTGTTTTTACTTAAATAAAGTGGAACAATTTCATTCTTTTTATTACTGCTTTTATCAATTCCATAAACATTAATACTCAGGTTGTTTAATTTTTCAAATTTTGGTATATCCTTCAGAGAAATGGGGAATTCAAAATCATCAAACTTTAAATCAGTATCTTTTAAGTGAGGATATGAACTTGTAAGATTCTGGTTCGTTTCAGCTGGATATCGTTGTGCAATGATAGACCATAAAAAACAGTATTCATCAAAATTTTTAACATTAATCACAGCTCTTTTATCAATTATAAACTTTGGCATTCTAATAAAAGTTGAGTATCCAGCCGCAAGAGGGACATATTTATTTATATTAACACTTAAATTTATAATTTCATTTAAAGACCAACCTGACTTTTTTTGTTGAAAATCATCAATCTTAACTAGAAGCTTTTCACGAATT